TCTTCAGGCAAGGGAAACAAGAGCAAAAAGAAACCATTTGGGCTATGCCAACATAAAAAGCTTTTGCATAGCAAAGGAAACCATGAACAAAATGAAAAGGCAGCCTACTGAAAGTGAGAAGATATTTGCAAATGATATGTCCAATAAGGAGTTAATATCCAAAATATATAAAGAGCTTATTTGATTCAACACCAAAAACCCCCCAAATAATCCAATTAAAAATGGGCAGAAGACCTGCACAGACATTTTCCCAAAGAAGGCATACAGATGGCCAACAGACACATGAAATGAAACAGACACAGATATAAGTGAAACCACAATGAGATATCACCTTATACCTGTCAGAATGGCTAGAATGAAAAGAACAGGAAATAACAAGTGTTGGCAAGGATGCAGAGAAAAGGGAATCCCCTTGCATTGTTGGTGGGGATGCAAACTGGGAAAGAGTATACAGGTTTCTCAAGAACTAAAAATAGAAATAGCATACAATCTAGTAATTCCACTACTGGGTATTTATCCCCAACCCCCAACAAAATTGAAAACTCTAATTTGAAAAATATATGCACCCCTATGTTTATGGCAGCATTATTTACAATAGCCAAGATATGAAAGCAACCCAAGTGTCCTTCAACAGATGAATGGATAAAGAAGTGACACACACACACACACACACACACACACACACACACACACTGGAATATTACTCAGCCATAAAAAGGATAAGATCTTGCCATATGGACAACATGGATGGACTTAGAGGGTATTATGCTAAATGAAATAAGTCAGAGGAAGACAAATACAATGTGATTTTACTTATATGTGGAATCTAAAAAGCAAAACGAATAAGCAAACAAAAACCAGAAATAGACCCATAAATACAGAGAACGAACTGATGGTTGCCAGAGGGGAGGTGGGTGGATGGGAGAGGCAAAATGGGTGAAGGGACGTGGGAGATACAGGCTTCCAGTTGTGGAATGAATAAATCACAGGAGTAAAAGGTAGAGTATAGGATAAGTAGAGTATAGTAAATGGTATTGTAATAGTGTCATATGGTGTATGGTGACCGATAGTAGCTACATTTCTGGTGAGAATAGTATAACAGATAGCCTTGTCCAGTCACTATGCTGTATACTTGAAACTAATGGAACATTGTGTGTCAAGTGTACTTCAATTAAATCAGTTATCACTGAACTTAAATACTAAAAATAATTCATATCCCATTGTTTGATCCACTGAAACAAAACTAGAAATTAAAAATTAAAAATTAAATCAGCTCACTGGAAACATTTTAAAAACTGTCAGATGCTGATTCTTTTTCGCTGTTTATGTGTTCTCCCATTTTATATAGTAATAGAATTTTTAATTTAGCACTTGGCCATCCAGCAAAAGACTACATTTCTCAGGATCCTTTGATTCTAGATGTGGCCTTGTGACTAAATTCTAATGTGGATGGCAGTGATATGAGCAATGTATACTTTGCAAATCCTTTCCTTCCCTCTTATGCTTCTTCTGTGGGCTAGAATGTGGATATGATGTTAAGAACTACTTCAGTGATCTGAAATCATGATGTGGAGACCACATACTGTGGAAATTGGGTGGTAAATATCTTAGCAAGATAGAAAAAGGTTGAGCTGTCCTCAGCCCTAGCCTCCTACATGGACATTTACCTTATTTTAACCACTCTCCGCTAGGGCCTCTCACAGCAGCCAAACCTGATTTCTAACTAATTTTTCTCTTTTCTTGAGTTAAGTAGGAAAAAAAAATTGCAGCTAGGATTATTGAAAATGATGATGAGAACACTGAATGTAAGTTCTTTATTTTAGCAGGGGAGGGACAGAAGGAGACGGAGAGAGAGAACCGTAAGCAGGCTCCACCACGGCTTGGAGCCCGAGGTGGGGCTTGATCTCACAACCAGGAGATCAGGATCTGGAGATGCAAAATTCTATACCCATCTGTGATAAAATTCAAGGAAAACTTAAGGATAGACAGAAATACCTTAATATGAGAGTAAATCTCTCAATCTAACATCAACATTCTGTTAGTGGCAAATGCTAAAGGCATTTTATCAAGAGGACAGGAATATTAGCTCTCATCATTTTTTTCCTTTCAAATTTTTTTTAACGTTTATTTATTTTTGAGACAGAGAGAGACAGAGCATGAATGGGGGAGGGGCAGAGGGAGAGGGAGACACAGAATCGGAAGCAGACTCCAGGCTCTGAGCCATCAGCCCAGAGCCTGACGCGGGGCTCGAACTCACGGACCGTGAGATCATGACCTGAGCTGAAGTCGGACGCTTAACCGACTGAGCCACCCAGGCGCCCCTCCTTTCAGTTTTACTGATATGTAATTGACATATAGCACTGTATGACATATTTCCTCATTTTTAAAAATAGCTTTTTGGTAGTTCAAGCCAAGAACAAGGCAACACTGTCATTATTTCTTAGTGATATGCTCAGTGAAAAACAAACAACAACAACAACAACAACAACAACAAAGCCTAGACAGAAAAGAATAATGGAAATAAGGAAGTCAGTTAAAATAACTATACTATGATTTTGCTATATATGAGAAACAACCCACTGATGAGTATGATGGAAAATAAATATAATTTCTACAAAAGTAATTTTTAAATTAACTAAGGAAGAAACTTAAAATGATATACAGAGAGTGTTCAAATACAAATGAATAAATGGAGGCATAACGTGTTTCTGATAGATTGACCCAATATATTACCAATTCTTCTTGGGTTGAAAAATAAACATTTTTAACATTGTTTTTAGTGAGGCGTAATTAATATAGTAAAATGTAAAAATTTTGATTTTATAGTTCAATAAATTTTTACAAATGTATATACCCCTTATGACCACTACACAAGATATAGAACATTTTCATATCCCTAGAAAGTTTCCTTATGTTCCTTCCCAGCCAACATTCCAACCCAAAAGTAATTACATTGTGGTATCTGTTATCGTGGATTAGTTTTGCCTGGTATTGAAATCCATAAAAATGCAACTCTACAGGAGGGTCTTTGACATATATCATTTTTTGTTTCTTTTCCTCTGTGGGGGAAAAATAATCTTAAAATTTGAATAGATTTTTAAATGATAATTTAAAAAGGAATAAAAAAAAGTAGAGAGTGAATTGCCTACAACATAGCTAACATGAAGTACTTCACAAACCTGCTTTGCTTCCGTTCAGTCTACTTCACTAGCTGATTTTTTCTGTGCTCATTTTGTGGTACTAATTTTAATAGTGTTCCTTTGTGTAAATTGATTTTCCCAGAACTCACCAGACCATAGGTCTGGATAGGGTGACTGTAGTAATAAATTCTCCTGGCACTTGTGCAAGACTAACAAAGAATGTCCAGGCTTTTAAAGTCTTACCTGGTTATTTTTGTGGTGTCTTACTTTAGCTCATGTTGTTCTTCCCTATGCACTCTTTTGAATATCTAATGTTCATGAAACTTGCCGAGAATTTTAAGTCAGCGTCATCACTGCTGCTGGTGTCCGCCATGATGACATTGATGACATTGCCAAATGACTACATTTCTTTTCCTTCCTTGGGGAAGTAGCTCCTTTACCTCTCTTCTGCTGTCTACTCCAAGGTACTAGGTATGCCCTTTTATTCCATCCCAGTTAGAGAGTAGTCTCCCAAGCAAAGTTCATTTGAACTTTTTCCAGACACAAATGAATGCAGACAAATGAATGCCTAAGCCACGTAGTCCACCTCTTATGTGTCATGTCCAAATATGAATGAATCTTCCTTAGGCTCATCTATAATACCCAAGAACGCATTCCTAGGCTGAGTTAGAAGGGATGGTACTCCATTCCATTATCAATTTTCGCATTTTCCTTCACACAAGTGGAAACTCTACATCAGCAATGACTGTATTGCTAATACTTGTTTGACTTCAGTTAAACATTTGGCTTAATGGCCCTCATTTCCTTTCTTCAAATGACAAGTCACTATCTTTCCCTATATTCCAGTGACACTGAAGCACAACGGATGGACTCTAGTGAAACAAGTGGCAGGGAGGCCCAGGACAGACATAGTGAAAAATCTTGACTCTAAACCAATGAATCAACTAAAGAGGCAAAAACCTCCCTAAGAAAGAGGACTGACCTTCTGAGCTTTTGCCCCTCAGGGAATATTAGTTTCACCTTTCCTGCTAACGTGATGGCAACCAGGCTGGGAACTTGGGATAGATTATTTATTCAGTGTGACAGCCTCTCCTCCTCTTTCTCTCCCTCCTACCCTTTACCCATGACCTTTCCAGACTCTTCAAGGTTTCATAAAACAAATGTCATCAAAGAATCAGACTTAGGTGGTTAGGCATTGATCACCTGAGTTACCTTTGTTTCCCTTTGTCTCAGAAAACAAAACTAAACAAAACACCCCACTCAAACAAAAAACCACATTTAAACATTTCCCAGGCGCTCTTTACCTATAGAAATTAATGGCAGCAACAGCAGCCTTTTAAAAATGTTAAATTATCTCACTGATTCTCAGAAAAAACAAAAGTGCTGTAGTTCCAACTGCCTGTGTGGTAGAAAGAAAGATGAATTCTTGAAAAAGGCCGGTTGAGTACAGCTTTCTCTTGTTAAAAGAGAGATTACTCAATGGGAACTGAAAGATCACAAATCTGCTTTTGGAACCGAAAGATAGAGTTATAATACCTTCACAGAAATAAAACCTCCTCCCTCATTGAGCTACTCAAACATTGCACTGCTTGAATAATGTGCTAAGTTAAGTAGGGAGGCCTGTGATGCAGTAATTACCCCAAGGAGGCTGCAGGGAAAGGAAAGTACATTCCAGACACCTAATCATTTACAATTGAGTTTAATGAGGTAGTAATTTACAGCTTTGGGGGTGGAAGTATGGAAAGGTCCCTGCCAGTAACTGGGCAGACTCTTTTAAAATCCTGAAGTTTAATGAAGGCATTGGAGGGTGGAATCATGCGGCCAACCTTGTGTAATTCCATCTGCTCTGTGCTTGGACAGGAAGTAAATGACAGGGCACTTGGGACCTACATCTGGAAACAACATGTTTCAAAGGATTTTATAAATCCTGAAGTAAAAGAAGAAGAAGAAGAAAGAAGAAGAAGAAGAAGAAGAAGAAGAAGAAGAAGAGGAAGAAGAAGAAGAAAAACAGAGGTGAAAGGGCATAGTTATGCGGGGGATGGGGAGGCACAACAGAGAAGGGTCAATGCAGGTTCTTTTTAGTTGGAAGAAATAACATTTTCTAATGTCATGGTCAGTCATTGATAATAATTGACAAAGCATGCTCACCAAGCCCTGTATGCAAACACAATGGACTGAGCTTTCCTTTTTGGATAGGATTTGGGTGAAGACTACAAAGCAGTCCAGGTCCACTGAACTTACCCGAACACCCCTTGTCAGTCTTTCAGTAATGTTGCTGGCACCTTCTTTACTGTCATTACTGAATGGTTCATAGTTTACTGGGTTAATTGAGTTGTTCATTGGTACTTTTTAAATGCAGCTAGCACATGAAGGGGGTTTATCTTAAAGAGGCCGAAAAGGCTCAAGGCACAATTACAGAGCACGGGGGCAAAAAGTAGCTACTAGACTGGCTTTTCAGTAATTATACCAATGATGGACATATACACAAATCAGGATTTGATAGTGTTTTCTTCTCACTAGGGATGGCTGTTCTTCATATTTTATTTTACATTACCCCGTTTCAACTCTCCCAAAGCAAGCCTCGTGCTCCCCAACATCCAAATCCTCCAAAACACTCTCCTGTTTGTAGCCAAGTTTTCTCATTCTTCTCTAGATGTTTCTGAAAGTAGGGAAGAAAGTGGATGGAATAATGAGAGTAGATGAAATGAAATAGAGGAGAGTCATTACATTTCTTGAATTTTAAGAGCATGGATCCAGGTTCAAACTCCTCTTTCCAGCAGTCTATCACAAAATATTTAAGAAGGTATTATGTGCCTATGCGCCAGGCAGGCGAGTGGTGTTAAAGGGAAACCAGACTTACAGCAATCGATGCTACTTATCATGATCACAATCACATTCATAATTGAAATCAGTGCTTGAGAACTTACCCCATGGTAGGTGGTTTCTGTGTATTGTTTTTTGATACTTTCTGAAAGTATGAAACAGGCCATACTTTTATCCCATTTTGCAGATGAGAAACCAGAGGCTCAGAGAAGTAAATAGCTCAAGGATAGGAAGGATAATAAGTAGAATGGAGAATTCAAACTCAAGTCTCTGATTTGAGAGCCTGCAGTCTTAATTCCTTTGTTATAGTGCCTTCAATGTTATATGTTTGGATATCAGATTGTAGGGACTTTAAAAAGATTTGGCCACAAGGCAGAGTGAGGGTCCCGATGGCATTTAGGAAACCATTCCATTCCCCCCAAAGCAAAAATTCAATCTTTAAAGTATCTCATATGATATTTGAACTACCGAATACAGGAAAAGAAGGGTTTTTTTCTCATGTAATATATATATTTTTTACCATAGCTTTTTGAATCTGGCTCAGAAGAAGGGGGAAATTAGTGGGAAATTAGTTTTCCAAAGCTTTATTTTTCTATTTTCCAGAGAATGAATTGTTTTTCATGTCTTATTTTGAACACAGTCTTTTTCTGATTAAAAATCATAAATAAGTTTTTTAGTTTCTCAAGATCTATAATCTACCTTTTGAAAGTCTGGGTAAAATCTGCACACTGGAATAATAATTATTCTTTGGAAAGCTATATGTGCCTATTCACAATAGGAAACATGTGACAAGGTGTTTAGTTATGGTTTCAATCCGCATGAACTGGGGAGGGCTTTCACGTTAAATAAATCTTCACATATGTGACAAAAACAAGCTTCTATACACCACCGGTAATGCCAGCAGTGAAATCTGAGACCAGAAGTGCTAATGAGGGTGGAAAAAATTTGAAAATTTTAATATTAAGCTCTTATTTCTCTTTCTTTTCAAGCCTGCAGAGTTAAAAGCCTGATTTTTGGAGTTTTCTTTGGTACTGCTAATTTATTTCCAGTTTTAAGGACATTATACTGCTAATCTTAGAAAAACAAATCTCTTACTTGGAAAAAGTATACTTAGTTAGCCACAAATAAGACTATCATCACTCTATAGAAGGTCATAGAACTATTAAGTCAGCAACTTCCCATTCCCTGGACCAGTGGGTACCAACTTGTCTTGGATTGTTGATATCAGATATTACTCTCATGATGCAAGTTGTGCCGTATTTATCACCTCTCATATACCTTTGGCATGACTCAAACACAAATTGAAAATAAAAATTAAATCCGTGTATCTACTAAAATTCACTTTGATTCTCTTTTTTATCCTTTGGAGAAGGATACCAATGTCCCATTTGTTTAGCATAAATGGGGGTTGGGCTCTTCTATTAAATAGATTTTCTTGTTTGTTTCTCCAGAAATTTTACCTCTTCAATTGCAGGCTTTAAAAACTTGCAGCCAGATTCTGTGGATATCTCTAAAATGTATGAGTTCCTTATCTACTTTTTCAAAAAAGGTACTGAATGCAACTCAGTCGTATCCTCCCAACCTCCGATCATTGTTCTAAACACGTGTCTTATGCTGCCCTGTATTCGGACATCTTGCAGGAGAATCACTGCTGAGGCGTGAAGGGCTCTGGAGGTGTGAAGGGCTGTGGTAAGGCTGAACAAAACCAGACTAGGTCATTTATGTTCTTGTAAAGGCTTCTGGAAATTGTGTGTGTGTCTATGTGGGAGTGTGCTCTCTCTAGTACCTCACCGTTGGTCGCTTTTAAGCTTCTGTGGTTGGAATACCTAACCCTAAACTTGTGGCTCTGAGAGAACCCACTAAGCTTCTTGTGTGTAAGCTTGGGTTTTGTGACATCTGCTTGGGTCATTTAGAGGCTGTGGTTGTTCCATTTCTCATTCTGGATTGTGTAGTAGATATATGAGATTGCCAGATTACTCACCTCTGAGTAGGCAATTTCTCTAATGTTATGCTTATTTTGCCAACTATTAAATGATTTCACAAGTCTCCATGGCAAATCTTCCTTCTATTATAGACCCTACTTCACTAATGATACTGCCATCTATTTCAATCACCTCATCAGAGGCACAGGTTGTGGCATGAGGCTTTGGGGTACGTGATTTGAAAGTCAGGTAGAGCTGACTTTAAATATATGCTCCCTAACTGGATAATTGCATCATCTTAGGCATGGTCATTTATTTATCCCACTGATCCATTTAACAAAAATTTATTGAATATTTGCTATGTGCCAGGCGATGTTCTGGGCCCTTAGGGTGGAGTTCCTGGAAGCTATAGATCAGTTGGGGACAACAGGCAACAAACAAGTGAGTGATTATATGGTATGTCAAATGGTGGTGGGGCACAAGGGAGGTTGAGGACAGGGTGTGAGAGAGGGAGACAGGTCAGAGGATATTTACGAAAGCTGTTTCAGTGGAGTGCTTGGGAAGAAAGCCTAACAGGAATGCATTCGAGAGAGAATGGGAAGAGTGGGATTTGAGACACTCTGTATAGTCAACATTTCATAGAATTTTTGCAGTGGGGTAAGGCAGAGATGTATTTGGTAGCTGGGAGGGAATGTGGGGTCAAGTGAGGGTCATTTTAAGATCTAGCATTTTTGTGTGCTGTTGTGAACGACTCAGCAGACAGAGGGAAACTGAACAAGCAGGGGAGAGAGGAAACAATTGCTGAAGTCGTGTTCTTGAGTTGGTGAGAGGGATGAAATCTCCCACACAAGTGGAGGGCTTGGTCTCAGCTCGGAGGCCATGAGTTTATCCACAGCCACAGGAGGGATGATGGAGGATCAGGGCACACATGCCTGTATGTCAGCAGACATGGTGGGGAGTACATCAAAATCTTTTCCTGTTGCTTCTGTTTTCTCAGTGAACAAGCAAGCAGTCTCAGCATCCGAGAGAGAAGGGGAGGAAGCGTCGGACATGTGAGGACACAGAAAAAGGTACAAACTAACCGTGTAGAGTAGGCAAGTGAATGAGCTACTTACTTAAATACAGTTGAATCACCTGGAGGCTATAAGGGACCATTTGAGATTAGTGATCATCAGTGTAAAGCTACATGAGTTAGTGGAAGCACTGGATATTTCTGCCTCCATCCTCTCCTCTACTATGTATGAATTTCTATTCCCAGCCCCGAGTACACTACCTTCTTATTATAGATTTTTTTTTTTTTTGGTAAGTACGTACTGAATGGAGGAAGGAAAGAAAAATAAAAATTCTGCCTCTTATTTCCGCATTCAGTCCTTATAGATACGCTATTTCTGGCATTCAAAGATTAAAAAGCAAATCACTCTATACTTTGTATCTCTAGAGATAGATTAACAGTGATTTTTCTTTGGATTTACTTTGGAGATTCCATTTATTTTACTGAATATTTCTTATTTTTCTTCTGGTATGTCCGAATGATGAAGAACATTTCTTGGCACCCCTTTAACAAGACAAAGTCAGAAAAGATTTATTTTCTAACAACTGTTTCCCTTCCAGATAATGGCAAATTACATAAAACATTTCTAGGTCAACCAAGGCAACTGAGAAATTTTGACTTTGACCACGGCTGAGGCAATTTGCTGTGGAGATGGCTGGAGGCACACACAGCCTCCTGAAGCCAGTTGGGGGGCTCTAATTGATTTCAGATGTGCTCCAAATAACACCGAAGATAAATGTCCCAGAGGTAGATTATTGGAGAGCTCTTTAGCTGTTTCTAATAAAACTTTCTTAAAAATTCCAAGTTTTTTTTTTTCTACAGATGCATATAATAATTCTAGCATGAACTAGAGGGCCTGAATGCAAACTACACATGTTTGTTAATAATTTTCCATTTCCCCCTAATAATGAAAGGAATTCATGGTTTTGGTATGAAAGCTGAAAATTATGGATAACTTTAAAGAAGAAAATAGAAAGAATCACCAGATATTTACATACATATATTTATCTAGTTGTGATCATATAAAATGAAGTTTTGTGTCTATTAATTTTTATGTGATATATTATGAGCCTTTGCTCTCATCATTACAAATTTTTTGAAGTATGAATTCAGTAGTCTCATAATATTGTATAGTGGTGTCTTTTCTTCTCAGTTTTCCATGTAGCCTTGGGGATTCATAGAGGTGTCTTAAGGGCCACCACAGGGCTTGGGAGAAGCAAGAATTGGGAGAAGCAAGCCCAATGGATTCCATGGCTTCCCTTGCACTTTTCAAACAGGTTCACAATGAACTACTTTAGATACTGGGCTTCTGCACAAAATTCTCCTTAAAGAAGAGTTCCCAAGCATATCAAAATTTGAAATCAATTACCGGTGAGCCATAATTTATTTAATCATTTGGTATTTCATATTCAGTTTTTCTTTTTCTTTTTTTAATTTTTTTTTTCAACGTTTATTTATTTTTGGGACAGAGAGAGACAGAGCATGAACGGGGGAGGGGCAGAGAGAGAGGGAGACACAGAATCGGAAACAGGCTCCAGGCTCTGAGCCATCAGCCCAGAGCCTGACGCGGGGCTCGAACTCACGGACCGTGAGATCGTGACCTGGCTGAAGTCGGACGCTTAACCGACTGCGCCACCCAGGCGCCCCTCATATTCAGTTTTTCTATAGTTCAAGTCATATCATGAACAATTTTGTACATACATATATATACATTC